TTGGTAAACTTATGTCTTCCATAGGACATGGAACCAGAGATTAGAAAGATCAGGGCCTGGGTGATCTGACAAGAAAAAGGACTTCCTCACATAAGGTACACAGGTCTCTGAGAAGGGTATGACCACCCTAAAACTGCAAGTAAAATTTTGAATACATGTATGTTTTCCTGGTGAAGGAGTCTTTTATTCTCAAATCCTGAGCTAGAGAAAAGGATTTAGAGCCAGCCAAGCGTGAAGGCTCTCAAAACCATTACTGAAAAGTTGGAACATCAACTCAGAGAAAAGACAACCGAGCAGTTGTTTTTGTGCTCTTGTTCCTAAGTGTATTTCAAGTCTTTTCAAAGCAAGGTCCCAGGAACCCCCAGATTCAAGCATGCCCCTGGGCTTGGTCCACTGCTGCAGAAGTCTTGTACACATGCTTGCTTTATTCATTCACCAATACTGAACCTCAGGATAGAAGATGTGACAAAGTGAGACTCCTTCCTGCATGACACATATTGATTTCAGAGGTGGGGGCAGCCAACGTGGAGAACATTGGAATTTTTCCTTGGAACTGGACTGATGAAAGGGGCCTGCCATTAACATAATCTTCTATCTTTTCCCTGATCCTTTCCTTCCAGTTTTTGAAGGAAGAGTCCCAAATATAATCTTCTCTGAAGATACTTGATGCCAATTCCAAAAAACAAAAACACATGCTTCCAATGCACTGTGCTTTCAGATATTCTGAGGAAGAAAGACACAACCGTATTAATACAAATTTACTATAATTTGGCACCTAAGAGCAGTAGCAGCAATAAAAAATAATTTTAAGCAGAGTTAAAATTCTTTTAGCTAAATACATAATTTACATCTCCAACTCCTTTTTGAAATTATATATTTCAATCATCTGATTTAAGATTCGTAGTTATTAACATTACCCTCACAATGATCAAGCAATACATAAGATTTTTCTAGCCCATAACATTTCAAAATGTCAACAGTTTTTAGCCTGTAACTCTTAGGATATACATAGCCTAATCAAGCATTCGCTGTTCCAAGCAGGTCACCATCTTTTAGACTTGTAAATACCAGCCTCCTTTTTCTTCCCAATCTCAAGGTTACTCTCAAGTACTAGCAAATGCTTTTAAATGGCGAGGTATGGCCCATCAAGTCAGCCCAAGGGCAGTTTTCAGCCCAGCTTTCCTTACCTAGGTCTAGTTCAGCAGGCGGATTAGCTGATTGATGCGTTCACCCCGATAGCCAGGTGAACCCATTTCCTTGACGAAGCCTACTCTATTTTTGGTAGCATGACGGGCTACTGAGAGTTGGAAAGGGCGCAAGAACCATGAGATCTCCTGGAAATGCTTTCCCGGGAAGGCAATTTCATGAATGAGGTCTTCCAAGCAAATGACACCAAACTTCCCTAAGAAATATAAGGGCAGAGATTCCTTTATTCAATATTTACCAAGCATATACTGACATGCTCTTTTATGCCAGAGCTGGGCACTCTGGCAAGTTTTTGACTCCAAGAATACAACCTGAATATTGCATCAAGGCCTTAAAGACTCTTGCTTTCTGCCTCAACTGACCCCTAAACTGCAGCACTCACCCAGGTGCTCCTCAATCACTGTGTTGTCTGTCAGAGGAATGGTCTTATTCTTGACCCTGGCTTGTCCACGTTTCAAGATGAGTTCCCGAACGGACTTCAGATTTGGAAATCTATGTGAACCAAAATAAAGGAGAATCTTCACCAACATCTGGCACACTACATACCAGCCCTGTAGCCTGGCTGAGGACAGAAGGCCGGAAAGGTTCTTTTACCCATCTGTCTCTGTCCCTAACCAGAGTATTCTGCAATAATATTCCAGCTGGGATGCTTGGGCATATCCATGATAAAGAACCAAAGTGTCCCCGGCTACATAATCAGGCATTTAATTTTATGGACATATATATTCACCAGGGAGAAACATTTATTTTCCCACCAAAAACAAAATAGAAAACCTGTTCTGGTTTAGAGTCTAGGACTCTGGGCCTTAGTGACCGTCTACTTAAGGCCAGGCGTGTTGGCTCACCCTGTAATCTCAGCACTTTGGGAGGCCGAGACGAAAGGTCTGCCTGAGTTCGGGGGTTCGAGAGCCAGCCCAGGCAACTTGGTGAGACCTCGTCTCTACAATAAATCACACACACAAAAACTGGCCAGGTGTGGTGGCATATGTCTGTAGTTCCAGCTACTTGGAAGGCTGAGGTAGTAGGACTGCCTGAGCCCAGCAGGTCGAGGCTATGGTGGCCATGAGCGTGCCAACCTGGGCAAAAAGAGTGAGACTCCAATTCAAAAAAAAAAATGTGCGAGATGGAAATTAGACCCAAGTCTTTTTTGGGTGTTAATGTTTGAGGAATACTACTCTTACACAAGTTCTGCCTCTAGCCCTGCTTCAAGATTCCAAGAATTAACCTCTCCTTGACCATCTCACTCAGCTTTAGTCCACTTTGAACTAGCTGTGCTATGGTACTTCAGACTACTACTAGCAGCTACTAAGGGATTAGCAGACCCTGCCCTCCACCACCTCATAACTCAAGATTCCTATGGTTATCAGTTGATTTCTGGTCACAACAAAATGTTCCTTCTACCTGGCAACATGAGCCTTGTTATACCCTGCACACCCTAATACACGCAAACATTTTTTTTTATCTAATGTGAATCCACATGGATAACCTTACTCACCCCCAGGTCACATAGGGCTCTACAATACGCAGCATTTTTAGGCGCTGGGGGGTGACTTTGACAAAGACACCACTGAAAATTTTCTTCAGGTGAAGTCTTGCAATGGTTCTCTGCACCAGCGAACTCACCCCATCAATCCTGAAATGAACAGCAACAGAAGCCAGGCTCTTTCCAGTCTCTGTTGGTCCAGTAAGTACTTACAAAATGCATTCTGCTATATGGGGTATCCAAAGACACAAACTATGCCTCAAAAAGCTCAGTTTAGTTATGTAAACTCTGGCAGTTATGTAAACAGATCCTTTCATGATGTGGAGCCATGGCTGGGGTGCCATGGGAACAGAGATGGTCCCTGAATGTGTGTGTGTTGGGGGGTATGTAGAGCTATGCACGTCCAGTTAAGGAAGATGGACTTGTTCCTATGGGGTGGTGAAAGCTACTGAAGATTTTAAGCAAAAGAGACAGAACAACATTTCTTTCTGACAATCCCTGAGATCCCAGTTAGAAAGGCTAATGCAACGTCAAGGAATAAGATATGGACAGTGGTAGGAGGGCTGAAGGGGAAAGAGCTCATAAATTTAAAAAAGCTGCAGGTATCTTGTTTGGGTGACTGGGTAGGGGAACCAGTAAGAGGTACAGAGCTGTATGTGGAGGTAGGGATGGGAAGAAAAGTAGTACTAAATGTGGAAAATGTCTTCTCTGCTTCACTCAGTCTTGAATTGCTTTTGAATATGAATTCGTTGAATATGCTTCACTCAGTCTTATTTTAGTTACTAGAAAGATGCCTCAGCATATATGCCTGGAAAGCCTTCTCCCAACACTGGTGAACTCCTTTCGTGTCTTTCAAGTCTCAGGGTGAAGTTGCTGCTTTGGAGAGGATGTCCTCACCCCCGCCATCACACACTTCATCCTTCCTCATAGCACTTATTTGCAAGCCTATCTAATGTCAGTCTTCCTAACCTTGTAGCCAAAACTATGTCTGTTGTGCTCAACCCTGAATCCCTTGTATAACTTGCCTTGGTGGCCTAGAGCCTACTCTCTCTTCGCCCTAGAAACAAGTCTAACGCTAAACCAACAGTTCACCCAGCATCGTGGGATTAGAAAGACAGTTCTATACCTTTGGATGCGTACAACAAAGGCCAAGGAATGTTTATCTGGCAATTCCAAGGCATGAGGTTTCACTTCTAGTCTTCTAAGACGCACACTGTCACGTTTCTGCCGCCAGGAATCATACAGGAACAATTCCAATCGCTTAAACTTGAGCCCTTTTCCTTTTCTTTGCTACAGAGAAGAGACACCATCATTACCATTTTGTACCTCCATTCATTTTTAATCTAGAACAGTAATTCATGAATCACTATTGAAAGAGCTTATTTCTCCTCGTGTCCTGCAAAGAGGAGCAAACACCCTGTATTTTTGTATAAGGAAAAAGTGAGAAACTGAAGTAAAGGTAGAGATGGCGAAACCTGGGAATTACTGGGAAAAATCTGATAAATACAAAACTAGTTTACGTGATATATATATATATATATATTTTTTTTTTGAGTTGGAGTCTCACTCTGTCACCCAGACTGGAGTGCTCGACCTGCTGGGCTCCAGCGATCCTTCTGCCTCAGCCTTCCAAGTAGCTGGAATTATAGGCATGCACTATCACGCCCGGCTAATTTTTGATTTATTGTAGAGATGAGGTCTCAAGTTGCCCAGGCGGGTCTCGAACCTGCGGGCTCAGGCAATCCACTCACCTCAGCCTCCCAAAGGCACGGGATTACAGGCTGAGCCACCAAGCCAGGCTGTTTACCTGCTATTAATCAGTGTTTACCAACAACTGTTTCTGGAACCTAGCACTGTATTGGGCACCACGAAGTACAAAACAAGTTAGCTTGTTTTAGTTCCTGTCCCCAAAATACACCCCCCCCAAGACATTTAGCAAATAGCAAAATTTGTTCATTTAAAAAAAACAAAAAACAAATTTTCTGCCATGTTTGGTCTCTCAAATCACTCAATAAATCTAGAAAAACATTTTCTACTCCACTTTTTTCTTAACAAACTCTATTCCAGCATTTTACCCAAGAGGATGTTAGATATATAAATATTTGCTAAATGAAGACATGAACCATATACAGTTGGTGCTCAGCATAGACAAATTCAACCAACTCCAGACTGAATATATCGAGGAAGACCAGGCACAGTGACTTGAAGCTGTGATGACAGTTATTCTGGAGGCTGAGGTGGGAGGATGGCTTGAGCCCAGGAGTTGGGAGGATAGGATGAGCTCTGATTACACCATTGCACTCAGCCTTGGTGACAGGGCAAGACCCTAACTTCCTAAAAAATAACAATATAACAATAAAAAATACAAATTTTAGATGTGCATAGCATGTACATTGTATAGATATTATAAGTAATCTAGAGATGATTTAAAGTACAGAAGCAGTAGAGTTATATGCAAGTACTATGCCACTTCACTTAGGGGACCTGAGCAGGCTCAAATTTTAGTTTCCCTGCGGATCCTGGAACCAGTTCCCTGAGGATATTGAGGGATGACTGTACCTGATGGGGGAGGGGCTCGTCAACACTAAATCTACCAATACATGCTGGATAAGACTCACGGAACACAAACCCTAATTCCTTTCTCTTGGTTTCCCACCATTACCTCCTTCCTTGCCAAAAGCGCCTGCTTTGCCTGGGTGGCTTTGAGAGCTTGATAAGCCTTCCTCTTTTTCAGGAGATTTTCTGGAACCAAAGGGATTTTCCTTTGCCTGATACAAAAAATTGAGATAGGCGATAATCATATTTAGAAAACGAACATTCAACGGATTTTCAAACCAATGAAAAATCCTGGGCTTCAGGGAACATCGCTCTCTTCAAATTCCTTAGGGCTGAGATTATCCTGAAACCTTGGTTTGACTCCAGTCCTCAAGATGGATCCCTAATATTAACTTGTCCCCAAGGCCTCAGAAAGTCACGAACCCCTTGGCTTCTGGGTTTGTATACTTCAATATAACTTTTCCTGCCAGTCTTTCCTAGGAGCTAGCAGCGATGAGACGAGAAAAAAACTCCGTGGGGTTGGGGCGGGTGCGGACCCGTGTGTAGGGTTAATACAGAAGTCAGGCTGGGTGAACCCATCTCTGGCTCTCTTCAGCCCGCTGCCTGGTCAATGCTCACCCCTCGAGACAACCGAACTTGACCGCGGCCTCCTCCGACCGCCCAGCCCTACGGTTTCTCACTCCCACCCTCTCTAGTACGGAGCCCTTTCTTTTCTCTACCTACAGCCCATAAATATCCTTGTTTTCCGCCACCGAGGCATAAAACGCAGTGGATGGTAACGGATACTCAAGGCCCCACCGCACATAATCCAACCCCAAACACTCACCCTTCCTCCGCCATCTTTCTCGGTCTGTCGGTACTGATCATGCGCACGCCCCACACGTGGGGGAAGAGAGGAGCCTCTCTATGTTTTCTTAACCACAGAGACGTTCAGGTCTAGCTCATGCTGGAGGACCCAGATTGCCTGCGCCCACTCATCAGCAGTAAAGCACCGAGGTCTTGTTAACGCTGATTCCTGCCAAAAACGACACACAGCTTCTTTCGCACCCCTTCCAAGCTTTCTAAAGCCCGTGTCATTTTCGAAATGCAGCCCCTTTCATTTAAGTTACATCTCATCACGCTGGTGGCTTGACCGTGAACAACGAAATGCTTCCCACAATGCACCTAAGGCTTCCACGGCAGCATCGGGGCTGCACTTCCGGCACGCACTCTGCTGCCCGACTCTAGGGAGGGGGACAGGCGACCTCCGCACAGTCCTTTCGCTCCTCGTGGAGAGAGCTGGCTGCTCTTACTTGGGTCTCACGTGTGGGTGGACGTGTTTGTGGACGACTTAGAGTCGTAAAGAAGGTAGCTCCTATTGCATCTGCTCGGCTCCGCTAGTGGGTCTTTGAGCAAGTAATTTAATCCCTCTGTATCTCGGTTTCCTTACCTAAGAAACGGATCTACATTATAGTAATTGTGAGATCTACCTAAGAGCGTTAGTAGGATTACATGAAATCAAAGTGGTTAGCAGGATGTCCGACAGCAGTCAGCACAGTGTTGGCTGACCTGCCTGGGCAGCATAGTGAGGCCCCGCCTCTACAAGATTAAAAAAAAAAAAAAATTAGCTGGGTGTGGTGGCGCATGCTTGTAGTCCCAGCTGCTTGGGAGGCTGAGGTGGGAGGATCGCTTGAGCCCAGAAGGTCGAGGCTGCAACGGTTCATGATCTCACCAATACACTCCAGGCTGGGCAACAGAGAATCCCTGTCTTAAAAAACAACAAAACCGGCAACCCCCCCCCCTTGCGACCCCTCCCACTGTGGGAGCTTTTCTGTCCTCTCAATAAATCCTGCTTTCTAAAAAAACAAAACACACACACAAAACGTCAAAACCCGGCCGGGCTCGGTGGCTCAGCCTGTAATCCCAGCATTTTTGGAGGCCGAGGTGAGTGGATTATCTAAACCCGCGGGTTCAAGACCCACCTCGGCAACTTGACAAGACCTCATCTCTACAATAAATCAAAAAATCAGCCGGGCGTGGTAGCGCGCACCTGTAGTTCCAGCTACTTGGAAGGCTGAGGCGGAAGGATCGCCGGAGCCCAGCAGGTCGAGGCTGTGGTGGCGGGAAGCGGCCACTGCACTCCAGTCTGGGCGACAGAGTGAGACTCCAACTCAAACAAAACAAAACAAAACAAAACAAGTCAAAACCCACTGTTATCATTACTGTTGGACGGAAAACTAGAAATGCCTCCGTGCCATCTCAGACCCTTCCCTCATACAGCTCTCACCACCTGAGATATGCTTTCTTCCCTGGTCTACGTATAATTCTGGAAAACAACTCAAGTTGCGTCATCTCTGGAAACCTCCAGAGCAAAGTTTCTCAAACATTGATACAAATACGTGTCACTTGAAGATCTTATTAAAATACAGTTTTTTATTCAGAAAGGCATTGATATTCTGCATTTTTAATCGACTTCAGAGTGATGCGGGTACTACTGGTCTATGGACTGCACTTTGACTAGTAAGACTCTAGTCTGCTTTCTTTCTCTGAATTCCTTAAGCACATTGTATTTTAAATATTTTTTTCCCTATGATATTAGGAGGGCAGGGACTATGCCTGCCTTGCTCAGCACTGATCCTAAGGGTCTAGTACCAGTTTCTCAGTTTTGGCACGATTAATACTGATGGCAGCTCAAGGCATCATATTGTTACATGCCGTGTAATTAGTCCAACAGAAAGACGGTACTATAGACAGAGCTCACTACCTGATGATTGAGTGTCGAAGGACAACACGGTCTTCAGGGTCACACATTGCTGTAAGAGGCCCGTTGTCTTACAGCACTTCACCATGTGTCTTTTTTTTTGAGTCAGAATTTCACTCTGTCGCCGAGGCTGGAGTCCAGTGGTATGTTCACAGCCACTACAACCTTGACCTGCTGGGTTCAGGTGATCTTTCTGCTTTGGCCTTCCAAGTAGCTGGAACCACAGGCACGCGCCACCACGCCTGGTTAATTTTTTTAAAAAAATGTATTGTAGAGATGAGGTCTCACCAAGTTTCCCAGGCTGGTCTCAAACCCGTGGGCTCAGGCAATCCTTTTGCCTCAGCCTCCCAAAGTGCTGAGAATACATGCGTGAGTCACCTCGCCCAGTTCCTATGTCTTACTTTTTAAAGAGGCAAAACAGAAGAGTCATCAAAGTGTAAGACATCCACTAAATAGTAAACAGAAAACCAGAAAGAAGTCAAAGTTTTGTGGTTCCCCTGCTCTACAGATAAAAGGTAGATTCTGTGATACCCACCGTATTAAGGGAAGGAGGAATTTTGGGGAAAACAATACTACTGGTGAATGGGATTGGAGGCCAGGATTCAGGAAATGGTTTCCCACCGCCAGCAGATGGTGCTAGGAGAGTACTATTCTCAGAACTAAAGCCATCAGTCCACCAGACTGACTCAGAGAAAAAGAGACAGAGACCCTCTTAAATTGAACAGTTGTTCATTAATTGAATATGTGTTTACTGAGCATTGAGCATGGACCCAACACTGGGCAAGGTACAATTTTTTTTGTTCAAGTGAAATTATTGAATGAGGCATGGTCTCTTATAGCCTTAAGAATCTTACTCTTTTTAGCCTGTCCTCATAGGCTTTTTTCTTTCTTTCTTTTTTTTGGAGACAAGTTCTCACTCTGTCACCCAGGTTGGAGTCAGTGATACCATTATAGCTCACTGTAACCTCAAAGTCTTGGGCTCAAGTGATTCTGCCACTTCAATCTTATGAGTAGCTGGGATTACAGGCTCACCACCAAGCCTGGTTAATTTAATTTTATTTTTTTTTAGTTGGAGTCTCATTCTGTTACCCAGGCTGAGGGCAGTGGCCTGCTCCCGCAGTCTCAACCTGCTGGGCTCTGGCAATCCTTCCCCCCCCCAGCCTTCCAAGTAGCAGGAAATATAGGCGTGAGCCACCATGCCCGGCTAAATTTTAAATTTATTGTAGAGATGAGCTCTTGGCAAGTTGCCCAGGCTGGTCTCAAACCTACAGCCTCAGGCAATCCTCTCACCTCGGCCTCCCAAAGTGCTGGGATTATAGGCGTGAGCCATCACACCTGACCAATTTTTAAAAAAAATTTGAATTTTGTAGAGATGGAGTCTTGCTGTGTTGCCCAGGTTGGTCTTGAATTCCTGGCCTCAAGCGATCCCATCTCAGCCTCCCCAAGTGCTGGGATTATAGGTATGAGCCACTGGGCCTGGCCTGTTTTCTTTATTCTTGTTCACTTCAGTTGTCCATCATTTGGAAATGGTTAAATACATTTTGGAAGACTGTGCAATTGTATGCAGTGAGGTAGGTCTTCAAGTCCTGAAATCTCAGTGGTGGATGTTTTTCATTTTTTGGCCTGCTGACCATTTCTAGGAAAAGGGATGAAACAGGTGGGGGATGGCAGTTTTTTGAGGCCCAAGGATAGACAAAGGAAAGATTGGGTAAGAAGTAGTCAGTATACAGCAGATAAGGCTAAAAGTTCCCATTTCTCTTGCGAACGTATCTCTTCCTCATCATGTATAATTGGGCAGATGGGGGATATCAAATCCAAATGCTTTCCCTCTATCATTTAAGTTGAAGGGTCTTTGGAAGATCTTTTCAACTCTTTTCATCTCCCCATCGGGAGGAGGTATGAGATGCTAAATTTCTCTGGGAGTTTGTATTTTGAGCAGAGTGATGATGGAATACAGACATGGGATGCCAGGTGTAGTGGTTTATACCTGTAATCCCAGCACTTTGGGAGGCAGAGGTGAGAGGATTGCTTGAGTTCAGGGTTCAAGACCAGCCTGGGCAATGTGGTAAGATCTTGTCTCTATAGTAAATAAAAAAACTAGCCAGGTGTGGTGGCACACGCCTGTAGTTCCAGTTACTTGGAAGGCTGAGGTGGAAGGATCTCCTGAGCCCAGCAGGTTGAGGCTGCAGTGGTTGCGAGTATGCCGCTGCACTCCAGCCTGGGCAACAGTGTGAGGATCCAACAACAACAACAACAAAATTTGGGACAAGACTTTTAAGGATTTCCACCTAATAAAACTTCCTAGAGTTTCCTTGTTCCTATCTTTCTCAGGTCTGGTGGTTCTTCAATCTTCCCTTTAATTCTTATCCTGTCTATAAAATCCTTTATGTTGGTTAACCAGAATCATGATTTCTGCTGCTTATGACCAAAGTTACCCAATTATAATACTCCCAAGCATTTGGTTATATTTGAAAAAGCAAGATAACAGAATAGGGTGTGAGAGAATGGTTCCAGGTTTTTTGTTTTTGTTTTTTTGCTTATGACATATTAATATTTGTATGTAGCAGTTTTGGAAGAATATGTGAAAGTGTTGATGGGGGTATTTTTGAGAAGTGATAACAGGGTCTGGAATGGGAGGAAGATTCCCACTTTATGGTATGCCCTTTGTTTATCACATATATATTCACTTAAGAAAAGGCTCTCAAGCCAGGTTCGGTGGCTCAGCCTGTAATCCCGCGCCTTGGGAGGCTGAGGTGAGTAGATTGCCTGAGCCCGCGGGTTCAAGACCCACCTGGGCAACTTGGCGAGACCTCATCTCTACAATAAATCAAAAATGAGCCGGGCGTGGTAGTGCACACCTGTAGTTCCAGCTACTCGGAAGGCTGAGGTGGAAGGATCGCCGGAGCCCAGCAGGTCGAGGCTTCGGTCTGGGCACTCCAGTCTGGGCGACGGAGTGAGACTCCAACTCAAAAAAAAAAAAAAGAGAGAAAGAAAAAGCTCTCTAGGTAATTAGATTTTTGTGGTTTTAGAAATCACTTTATATGTTTTTAAAGACTTTCCAGAACAGACATTTTGTGGTTCTCTGCATTAACTCGAGAATCCCTTTCCTAATATATCCCTGAATAAGCTATTTTGGTATTGTCTGCCCTTTGTGTTCTTTGAACTCTTATTCTTTTACTTGAGATAATTGAGCATTGAGACAATTTTACCTTCTCAGTAAGACAGAGCCACA